TGGATATGCATCCATGTAAATTAGGTGCACGACTATCGTTCATTCATGCACCACTCACAGCGCTTATTATTGTTGGGTGCCGATAGATCCCATAAGCCTTTTGTGATCGCTAGACTCCCCTGTTGGAGCTTGCCACTGCCGGATGTTAACTTTGTAAACTGGGAGTAGGACGATTGTTCCACACTCCTCACGAAGCTTGTCTCTGTCGATACATCACATAGGTCTCGCGTGATCATTAGACACCCCTCGCGAACTTAGTAGCTTTCATGTATTAACATTGTAAATTGGGTGCAAGACAATCGTTTGCACACCCCTCGTGAAGCATTTCACTACCGGATACCGATATATCCCATAAACTTTCGAGATCGTTGGACACCACTCGCGAAGTCTATCGTTGTCGGGTGTTAACTGTGTAAATTGGGTGCAGGATGATCGTGTGTGCACCCTTCATAGAGCTTATCACTGTCGGGTTTCGATACTCCTCTTAGGCCTCTCGCGATCATTAGACACCCCTCGTAAAGCTTGTATCTATTGGGTGCTAATTTTATAAATTAGACGCAAGACGATCGCTCGTGCACCCTCACAGAGCTTGTCGCTATCAAATGTCGATATGTCCCATAGACCCTTGACGATCTTTGCACATATTGATTAATTTTATCCACTTGTGGAGATAGTTTCCCACACATGACATGGTTAGTTCTCTGAATGTGAAAGCGTGAGTTCCCCGAGTGTAACCTTTCAAGTTCCTCGAGCATAACTGTGTCAGTTTCCCGAGCATAAAATAATCAAAGAAAGTACCGTTAGCAATATTGAATATGTAAATTTTAAACTTTTAGATTTTATGTATGTAACCTTCATTATATTGAGCCTCTGAAAGAAAAGAGGGGTTATACAAAATAACCATGACAGGGCTCTTTCTAAAAATAGATATAGTTTTTAGGGAAAATATCTTCAGATCGTCACCACTCCAAGTTTGAGGGACATCATTTTCTGCGAATGTCTTCAATTTGTATGGTCTGGGTCCAGCTCTCTAGTGAATGATGTAGAGACCATTTCAGATTTGATCTAGCTTCTCGAATGCCTGCCCCCTGGCCACGGGGTCAGCCTTCTTCAGCACTAGATCCCCTAGGGCGTACTTCTCTTCATGTACATGTTCATTAAAATATTTGTCTGTCCTTCGCTTGACCTCTTATTGTCAGAGGGCTGCATTGACTTGATTCTCCTTGGCCAAATCTAAGGCGAGCCTTACTCCATCATTGTTTGCATCGAACCACCCTCTTAGATCCTCCTTGTTGAAAGAGGAGTCAGAGAGTACCCTCTGACTTTAATTATTGCATTCGACCAACAACAAAACTTTCATTTTGTGAGACAACATAAAAGGGATATGTCCGGTGGATGTGGATAGTATTGTTCATATTGCCTAGAATTTTGAAGGGATTAGGTCTGCTCATTTGCTTTTTGCTTCTTCAATCTCTTTCCTTAGCAAATTGAGGATGATTTTTTTTCGAGCCACCGCTTGTCTGTTCGTTCGAGGGTGATGTGCAGAAGCAAATTTGAGGTTGATCGCATGCCTCTTACAAAAATATTGAACTCTTTTGTGTGCAAATTGGTCCCATTATTTGTAACAAAGACAGGGTGATCTGTATTGGCAAATCAGGTCAGTCTAGATGAACTTCAAGACTACCTCCGTCATTATGTGTGCCAGAGGCTTTACTTCTACCCACTTAAAGAAATAATTGATGCTCACCAACAAATACTTCCACTTTTCACTTGACGTGGGAATAATCCCGGTATATCGAGCCCTACATGGAGAATGATCAAGGACTTATGATCGGGTGAAGTTTTTGAGTCAGCTAATAGCGTAATGGCCTGTATTTCTGCTATTGTGTACACCTTCAAAAATATTCTTAAGTGTCATTTAGCAAGTTCGGCCAAAAGTATCTCTATCGCTGGATTTAGTGAGCCAATGTTTTTCCCTGGAATGGGTCCCACACTCTTCACCATGCACTTCCCAGAGTATATCCTCAACTTCATCTTCCCTAATGCATTTTAGGTATAAAGATGTGGCCGACTTTCTAAAAAATTTTCCTCCGACTAGTAGGTATTGGTCAACCTTATATTTAATTCTCCTGCAATCGATGACTTCTTCGTCGATCTCCCCCCTACTTAGGTACTAGATGTATGAGTTCACCCAACTCTTCTTCTACGCCTAATGAATCTTCATTGCTAGTGGTTCTTTGATTGAGCATCGACCGAGTCTTCAAGGTTGTCCTTCTCTTAGGTAAATGCTCCGAGATAGAAAGTAGGTGACCTGATTTTCCTCTCTTCGAACATGTTCAATTTTGAAGCTGGAAAACCAACCAATCCTCGTCTTCACCTTCCTCAGGTACTTCATCATAGTCTCATCCTTGATTTCAAATTACCCATTGACCTAGTTCACTATCAGTTCTGAATCAACCTTTACAATTATGTGGAGGACTCCCATCTCTGAGTCTAGGATAAGTTTTGCAATCAAATCTTCATATTCTGCTTGGTTGTTAGTTAATGAAAAATTTACCTCGATTGAGTGGTAGAAATTTTCCCCAGCAGGGCTTCAAAAGAAAAGTCCAAGTCCAGCACCTGATTGGTATCATGCCCCATCTTTTAGTAGGGTCCAGTTCGATCTGTCGATAGTTAGTTCCTCGTTTTCCCATCTTGGTCCGGAGAAATTATAAAGAAATCTGCAACACCCTAAGCCTTTATTATCGTTCTGGGGATATAGAAGATGTCAAACTCGCAGAGTTCCACGTCCCCTTTGAGCTGTCAACTGGAATGATCTGGCCGAGTGAGAACAAATTTTAATGGGTGATCTGTGATAACTTGTATGGAGAGTACCTAAAAATTTGGCTGGAGCCTCAGTGCTAAAATGACCAAGGCGAAGGTTTGTTTCTTCTATTGGATACCAGAGTTCAACCCTCTTGAGGACCCAACTAGTGCAATATATTGGGTGTTGCTTTCCGTGTTCTTCTTTGACCAATACATACTTGACGACTTAAGGGACCACCTGGAGCTAAAGTTAAAGTTTTTTCCTTTGGCTTCGGGCTTTGAAGAAAAGAGGAGAGGTGAAAAATTGCTTGATGTTCCTGAAGGCCTCCTTGCATTCTGGTGTCCATTCAAAATATTTGTCTCTCCTGAGTACTTTAAAGAATGAGGCACACCTATCACTTGACTTGGATATGAACCTACCAAACACTGCAATCCGACTAGTTAGCTTCTGGATTTCTTTCCTGTTCTTAGGGAAGGGCATATCGAGGAGTGCTTGGATCTTTTCCGGGTTAGCCTTTATGCCTTCAGGGGTTAGTTAATATCACAAGAATTTGTTTGTTGCGGCCTCAAATGTGCACTTCAGTGGGTTTAGTTTCATGTTAAAATTTCAAGTGTTAGAAAAATTTCTTTTAGATCCTCAATGTGTTGTTTGGCCGAATGACCTTAACCAGTACATCATCAACATATGCCTCAATGTTCCTTCCTTTTTTATTAGTAAAAATTACATCCATGAGGCATTGGTAAGTCGCCCGATATTTTTGAGCCTGAAAGACATTACATTGCAATTAAAAATTTCCTCACAAGTAATAAAAGCGATCTTTTCTGCATCAACTCAGTGCAACTTGATTTGATATTACCGAGGGAAGGCGACGAGAATACTTAAAGACTGTAAGGTGGCTCTTCTCTTGGTGGATTGTCCCTCTGTCATTCTTGATTTTGTGCCACCAAATCTAATGATTTCATGCGACTTCTTGAATGGTTTAAGGATGCCTCTTGCCTTACTTCTTCTTTTCTCTTATCCAACTATTCCCTGAGTTCCTCCGTCTGTTGCACAACAAATTCTATTGTGCAATCCATCGTTGTTCTTCTTTTCTCATTGAAATATAATATCTCTCGATTGAACTTTGATAATGAGTTACACACTCACCACACATTTTAGGTTGTTGAATCTTTTTGGGACGTGAGATCGAGTATAATTCATGAACTCATATAATCCAAGGGAGACCTTAAAGGATGAAAGAAAGGAAATTGAGTAATTTTTACAGAGTTTTTTCATGGGTGCCTGATTTAGAGAAGATAAAAAAAAGCCATCCCTTTTCCTTTATTTCTTCTTATTTATATACTAAGAAGCCTAGGTATCTGCACATGGGTCTAAAAAATAATTATAAAACTAGGTTATATGCATGCAGTTCAAAGCCTGAGCACACTCTTTGCTGATGAGATTGTTGGTATAGACAGTCACATTATTATTAAATGATGGTATGTATGCTGACAGATGAAAACTCTCTTTCCTCTGCCCAGGAGCTACTTGTAGAGCTCAATTATATACACATGTAGTTGTCAGCGAGTCGAGTGGGAAGGTCCAACCATCTTGTATGAGTATGTCTGGAAGAGTGCGATTGAAGATCGAGATTGAGTAGACCCATTCTAAGAAAAACCCGCTAAAATGTTGATACACTTTAGAGTTATTCACAGAATACTTTTGTACAGTAAGAAGCCCTGCAACTTGTCACTTCCAAAGTACAAGTACTATTGATATGATAACAAGAGAGCATTAAATACAAAATTGTTTGGTCGGATTCATCAAGCCTATGAAGCCCATTTATCATTTTGGTTTTACTATTGTTTAACAACTCATATATATATATATATATATATATATATATATAGATTGAATATATATATATAATATCAATGTAAATGCCCCGATTTATTTATTTAAACTATCAACAGCGAAAATTGTCCTAATAAAGTAGAATGCTGTTTTCTCCTTGGCTATTAAAGAAATAACTGCGCATTTACGTAAAACCAAAATACATGCACTTGCTAATGTTGCAGGCTTTACAGCCGTTAAAGATAGCATTCCATTTTTCTCTCCTAAAACCCGATGCCCACCGCTTCTCTCTCCTCTGCGGAACATTTTTTCCCCGTTACACCCATAACCCACTCATCTCTACCGATTCACTCTTATCGAACTCAGAATTTTCTGAACCACAGTAAGTCGGCATATCGAAAGAGAGTGTGAGCAACACGGCAAGAAGAACCTAATGAGGAAGGACTGCAGCGGCGGCGGAGGAGCTGCTATGCCGGCTTCCCCCTCACCGCTTTTCTTCCCCTGCCTCGACGCCAAACCCTTCGTCGCCACCCTCGTCGTCATAACCCTCATCATGGCCATTTGGCAACTCCAACCCTACGAATCCCTCTTCTCTTCTTCCCCTTGTCCCATCCCTAATTCCCCCTCTTCATCTACCTCTAACCTCAGGCAAAAATTCGCATCTTTTTCTTCTCCCATTACCTCAACTCTCCTCCCCAACTCCTCCTCCTCCCCTTTCCTCAAGCAAAAAATCGAATCTTTTTCTTCTCGTAATGCCTCAACTCCCAGTACCAGCTCTCGCTCCAGCCTCATCACCGACCCCAATCTGCGCACTTTTCGCTCCTACGGCAACGCCGCCTCCCTCTTCGTCCTGATGGGTGCTTACCGAGGAGGCCCCACCACCTTCGCCATTGTCGGCCTCGCTTCCAAACCCACCCACGTCTTTGGTAAGCCCTGGTTCAAATGCGAGTGGGTTCCCAACTCCAACTCCTCCCCCATTCGCACCAAAGCTTACAAGATCCTCCCCGATTGGGGCTACGGCCGCGTTTACACCGTCGTCGTCGTCAACTGCACTTTTCCGTTCATCCCCAACGCCGACAACACCGGTGGAAAGCTCTTTGTTAATGCCTACTATTCCCCCTCTCCCCGCCGCTACGAGAAATTTCTTGCACTCGAAGAACCTCCCGGTTCCTACAACAAATCCCTTTTCAGCCCTCCCTACAAGTACGACTATCTCTACTGCGGTTCATCTCTGTATGGGAACTTGAGCTCCAGCAGGATTCGGGAATGGATGGCTTACCACGCGCACTTCTTCGGTCCAAAATCGCATTTTGTGTTCCATGATGCCGGCGGCGTGAGCCCTGCGGTTAGAGCGGTGCTTGATCCGTGGGTGAAGCTTGGGAGGGCGACGATACAGGATATTAGAGCACAGGATGAGTATGATGGGTATTATTATAATCAGTTCTTGGTGGTGAATGACTGTCTTCATAGGTATCGGCATGCGGCGACTTGGACCTTTTACTTCGATGTGGATGAGTATATTTATTTGCCGGATGGGAGGACACTGCAGGAAGTGCTTGGTGAGCTTTCGAATTATACGCAGTTTACTATTGAGCAGAATCCTATGTCGAATGCTCTGTGTGTGAAGGATCCCGGCAAGGATTACTCCAGGTGTGATGAGATCTTTTTTTCCTGGATTAGGTTTGCTCTTTGTTTTGTTTATTAGCTTGACTTGCTTTGATTTTTCTCGAGGGATCATTTGGTTTTTTGGTAAATTTAAAATTTTTTTTTAATGAAAATGTTGTTGTTTGATTCGAAAACTAAATTCTCATTTTTGAGGCAGTTTTGAGAAGATTTGTAGAGTTTGAAATCAACTACTTCTTACCCCAGTTGGATTTAAGAACTTCAATTATTTCTTTAAGCATGATTTCTGCCTTCAAGCAACCAAATGAGCTGTAGAAGATGTGAGAATCTGATTGTTGGGATGGCATGGTGGGTTTGGTTTTTGGCACTTGAAATCTTTAAAAACTGGCTTTTTGCTCTTTTCTTCAGTATTTTTCCAGCAAGCATTTGGTAATTTTACCAGTGTATCGTTTGAATCATATGTGATGCTACTGAATTGTAACTTCTTTGTGTTGTTTCTTAGGTTGCTGATTTGTAAATTAGACCATCTAAAACTTTGTATTAGAGATATGGACAAGTTTCTCTTGGCGACTCTTCTTCTTTGTTAATATTTCTAAAGAGTTTTTTGTGCTTACACATAGTAATGATTGTTTAGTTTACCATTGCAGCAAAGAAAAAGAGTTACTGATACTGTTAAAAAACATATATATTAGCTACCTCACTCTTTGATTTCCTCTGAATCCTTCTATTATTTGGTTTCAGGGAATGGGGATTTGAGAAGCTAGTATTCAGGAATTCAATCACCGGTGTGAGAAGAGATAGAAAATACGCGATCCAAGCGAAAAATGCTTTTGCCACTGGAGTTCACATGTCTGAGAATGTCATCGGACCAACTACACACAAAACCGAATCCATAATCCGGTACTATCACTACCACAACTCCATCAATGTCTTAGGGGAGCCGTGTCGAGAATTCATACAGATGCCTGTGAAAGGCAATGTGACTTGGTACGAGAAGATACCATATGTTTACGATGACAACATGAAACGCCTCTCCGACGAAATCAAGAGATTTGAGGAGCAAACAATCGGTCACCTTCGTGTTAATGATAAAACAACCTGAGATTGAAAGATATTTTCAGCATTCTAAAACAACCTGAGATTGAAAGATGTTTTCAGCATTCTTTTGTTGTTGCTCTCTTGGGAGAAATGGAAATTTGAACAGATTCAAGAATGAGCTTGTTAAAGAAGGAGAATTGAAAACCTAGGAAGCCATTGGTCACCATTATTGTAGAGGTATGGTTCTGGTTAAAGTGTTTTATCTTGTTGTTGTACATGACCTTCTCCAGCAAATTTGTTCTTTTGAGGGTCTATGCTCCTCTTGTTCTCTACCTTCTTTGTTATATTAAGATATACTGTTTTTTTTTTCTTAATTGTATTAGATTCTTTTATAATGTTTAAGATTAGTTATTTGACCGTTTGGACTCTCTGATGAGCTGAGAAGGTCCTTTACATTGATATAATATAAAAAAGAGTAGGTTGCAGACAATTTTCGGCTATTATTATTGTTAGGGAAATTTAAATATCTAGCACACAACTCTTTTGTATTTGCATATCTCACACCTAAACTTTTATATTTACATACATAGCACTTTGGTGGTTTATAATTATGCAGGAAAAGGTGTATTTCACTTTAAAAAACCAGTAATAGTGCTATTTTTTATGTGATATTAAATATTTGAGTGCTATGCATGTAAATATGAAAGTTTAGGCGCGAGATATGTAAATACATTAGAATTATGTGCTATGTATGTAAATGCCCCTTTTTATTAATAATTTTGTCCTTTAGGCCCTCTTTCCAGCCTTTGCCTTGGTGTCCCTATAAGAGTTGTGGGTGCAATAATTGTGTAGTGTGGTGGTAGGTCCTTGAGAGGGAGAGACCGTTGTCTTCTTCCTTGTAGCTTTAACTTTTTTTTGTTAGACGGAGGACTATTTTGTATGGATAAATACAAAGTGTATTTGTACCTTGTGTGAAGCTCCATCAATGCAAGCCCAAAGGAGAGGTTAATGTACTTAGCTTTAACTTTTTTATTATGGCTTTTAACGGTCTAATCTTGATCAATCTGAATTGGGTTCCAAGAATGAATCTAATTCATTCATTGTAATATGAAGCCAAGCCAAGCATGTTTGTAGAATGGGTTGAAATTTTTGATTTGATTTCGATAACTTTTTCTCTTGAAACAAATTTCCACGCCCATTTGCGCACAGTTTAATACAAATCTAATATCATAACACAAATCCTTAATATCACATAAAAAATTACGCTATTATGATTTTTCTTTATGAAAACATTTTCATGCATAAGCTTAAAATAATAAGTGCTATATATGTAAATATGAAAGTTCAGGTGTGAGATATGTAAATACATAAGAATTGTGTGCTGCATCTTATAACAATGATGATGTATGACGTCGCATATTGTTTGCTTCTGGATCCAGACCATATAGATTAATCAAACTTTGAAGTGTTTTTGAAGAGATTAGCCTTCTAATGATCTGATCAGCAAATAGAAAATCAGAAGAACCTTTATACACAAGGCATTAGCTGTACCTATGCTGATTTTGTTGAAATTTTCTCCTGTTTTTCTTCCTATTTGGTCAATTTCAGCTCTTCAATTTCCTCTTTTGTATTATTTATATGTTTTGGGATTTGCTTTGGATTCTGTGTGTTTATATTTTATACAACTCATTTGCCAACTGTGGTTAAGAGTGTTAGGTAAGCATTGCGCCCACATGCAGTTTTCATGACTACTGTGACAAGAGGTCCTATTTGTCCATTTCTTCCAAGCTGCCGATTCCAGCGAGGATATAATATTATATGGCTTAATAATGATACCACAGGCAAATTAATATGTGGCTATTAAAACACGAGCTCACCGACAATTTTTGTTAAGATGATGGCGAGATAATAATTCTTTAATTACATATTAGATTAATTAAAAATTAAGAACTGTTAGTGTTGGATTATGTAGACTCACATCAATGTAAGGATCTGATTATAGAGTTTGACTGGAATTGAGTTTTGAGATTGTTGAAGTTAATAATTAGAAAATTTGCATGCATGCCTCAAATCTTATGTATTTGCATATAAAATGGCAAAGGTTTGATATTTGCAATTATACCAGTTTGGTGTCATGAAATGGAGCATGGAAAGATGTATTTCACTTTTAGAAAGTTAGTAATGATCTTACAAATTTGAGTTTTATGCATGTAAATATGACAGTTCAGATGTTAGACATGCAAGTGATAAGAATTGTGCGGTGTGTATGTAAATTCACCATAAGTTTGTGAAAATTTCTCATTTTTTATGGAGTTGGACATGATTAGGACCAAGATGCAAGTTTGGGCTTGTTTAGTTCATGAGTTGACAGGTTACCTAACCAAATATGAGCTGTTTACGAACGTTAACATGCTCCTCAATTTTTATGTATTTACATATCAAACACCTAAGCATCAATTTTTACATATTTGACATTTTACTCGTGCATGAAAAAGGGCATTTCACTTTAAAAAAGCTAAAACAGTGGTATATTTTATGTGATATGAAGTTTAGGTGTTAGATATGTATGCACATAGGAATTGCGTGGTATGTATGTATATTCCCGTAAACGAAGGCTTTATTGGAGAACGCACTGAACTTCCATTGGGGTTGCACTGAACGCCGCTGCCCGGAAAAATTTTAGTTTGGCGCAGGAGAGTTTTTAGAATGTCTTTGAATGTTGCATTGTAAAAAAAGGATAAATTTTTCCGGTTCATCAGATGTGGCTTTTAAATCAGATTTGTTGAACGGGAATGCTTCTTCAGATGAAGCTTGAATCAACGATGCTCGAACTTGGATGTTCAAGCAATGGTGGGAGACTGTGATGTGAGATAACCAAAACTTTACATTTTTCTATTACATAACCCGAGTATCTTTAAAGGTTATGAATCATGGAATTTGTTCGAGTAGAATGCTTTCCTTTTTCTGCGTCCATAAATAAGAAAAGAAGAATTGGCAGCCTTTCAATGATGAAGAGAAGTGGGTGGGGTTCTCTGCCGTTCTGTTCAAAAAAGGCACTTCAGCTTAAGCTTCCTCTTCACTCTTTTGTGGCAGGAACAATTATTTTATGAGGACACCGATGTAAATTGCATCAGCTGTCCAATAACAGGGTGCCACGTGGCAATCCGGGCCCGTGTATGTCAATGAGCCCAAATTGTCACGTGACCCCCTATTATTGGACATTTGATGCAAATTTGCATGAGGTGTCGTGATGCAAGCTAATGTCCTGATGCAATAATTTCTTTGGAGGCCTTTTCCTAACCCGAGTTAGCGTGTGGGGTTTGTTAGAATTTCCTCGTCACTCTTAAAGTTCCTATCTCTTTATTCCACAATCTGCCAAGTTGATCAAATCTTAACTCAAGTTGTCACAATTGTCACCCGTAGCCTAAGGCTTAAAGTTGAGCAACCGAGTTTTAAGAAGCTTTTTTATCCATTAGATAACAAATAAGCCTCTAGTCATTTTGAAACATAAAGAATTCTGTAAATGAATAAGTATCAAAGTGTAATGACAGATTAATATTCTAATAAAATAAAAAAAAATAGCAAATTGAGCAAAATAAAAAAATAGCAAGTTAATAATAATATCAAATCATGAAATAAAGTGGGTTATACAAACATTAAGCCATCAAACACTACACGAATGCTCCCTATTAGCATTTGTTTTAGCCTCAGAAAATTTCGGACACAAAGTTTGAGTCGAATTTACGTATGATTTAAGGTGAAGCTTATTATGGATGCTTTAGCGTCAGTAGTACGCCGATACTTACCGATGCAAACCTTTTGTGTCGACTTTTGAGTTGAACGTATTATTTCTACGATAAGGTTAACGCTAACGTTATTGCATCGGAAAATTCCGACGTGAAAGCCGACACACATGCCCTAAAATTATATTATTATGCTTGCTAGCCTCATTTTCACTTCTATTGCTCGGTTTTTCTTTTTAAGTTGCAGCTCCGGCTACGTCTTTTCTCTACCAAACATACAACAACTTTGGGGGCGTTCGCACCGGCGATTTAGTGGCTCGGGCGAGTATTCTTTCGATCTTATGTCTAAGCTAGGTAAACTTCCTTTCTTAGTTTAAGGTATTCCCCATTTATATTTTTGTGGAATTTATGTTAGATATATCTTACAAAAGAATTGAGTGGTTTGAATGCAAAAATTGAAGTTTATGTGTTAGATATGTAATACATAAGAATTGAGTGGAATGTATGAAAAATATGAAGGTTAGGTGTTAGATATGTAATACATAAGAGTTGAGTGGTTTGAATGCAAAAATTGAAGTTTATGTGTTAGATATGTAATACATAAGAATTGAGTGGAATGTACGAAAAATATGAAGGTTAGGTGTTAGATATGTAATACATAAGAGTTGAGTGGTTTGTATGCAAAAAAAAAAAAAAAAAAAAAGTTTAGATGTTAAATATGTAATATATAAGAATTGAGTGCTAACCCCCCCCCCCCCCACCGTACAACGTGTAAATGTATAAGGGCTCATTCCTAAAATAGGGAGTTCATTTCATGAATAAACATTACGCAAATTTACTATTCTTTTACTGTGTTATTGCTCCCTCTCATCCCCTAACACTCCATTCTTTAGGCAGTTCTCTCGGGCAGATTTAGATTCAACATCATGAAAATTGTTGTGAGTGTGGAGCTATGTCATCAACAAGAAGAGCATAATGATCACAGAGGGAGAGTAGTAACCAAAGAGCGGTGGCCAACTCCGAACCCCCACGAGATGACATGAAAGAACGCATGCAAAGAAGAATGCAAGAGATGAAGACTTAAATTATGGATCAAGTGACGGGCCTGATCGTCGAGGTTTTAAGGGTAGTTGTAGCCATGGCGGGAAACCATTCCCTGCAAGAGAAAAACTGGCAATAGGAGGTGGCGTCGATGCATGACGCTAGTAGGGAAAACCACTATCACAAGGTGGCCGGTGACTCACAGTACCAATATAGTGTTGGATCAGTGCAAGTGGGAAAGCGATGCACTGAACGTATTGAAGCCCCGTGCCAGTCGGAGTCTTCCTCAAAATCTCTAGAGTAGAGTCCCTAAAATAGTTTAAATTTATGTTCTTGGAAGCTTATAGGGGATGATCAAACTCCAACAACCACATCGCCACATTTGAATCAGTTGTATAGCGGCTCAAGATCTCAGACGTGTTCAAGTGACGTCTATTTTTCACCGCTTTAAGGACGTCACCCTTGAGGTGGTTCCACACTCTTTTGGCTAGGAGCATCAACAGCTTTGCTAATTTCAAGAAGTTGCTCTTGGCACAATTTGCCAATGTCAAGAAACCCACGAAGAGCGTGCACTCCCTATGGC